AACGAGCTAGAGGTGCTTCTCGTCCACGACCCGAAGGCCGATAAGGCCAGTGCTGCCTTGGACGTCAATGTTGGCAATTTCAGCGATTCCAAAGAGATGCCTGGCTTGGCACATGGTGTAGAACATGTCAGTATAAACAGCCCATCCGGGTACTTGCACTATTTTTTCTTTGTTGGCCCATTGGCTAATGCTTGTAGCACCGCAGCTTTTATTCATGGGCACAAAGAAATATCCCGGGGAAAACGAATACAACCAGTACTTGGCTGCCAACTCGGGCAGCTGCAATGCCTACACGGCAGCTACTTCCACCAACTTCTTCTTTGAGGTTGCGGCCAAGCCAGCCAACGATGAAGAACCTTCAGACACCAATCCGTCACCGCTCTTCGGGGCCCTTGACCGCTTTGCGCAATTTTTCATTGAGCCCTTGTTTTTGGAAAACACGCTGGACAGAGAGTTGAACGCTGTGAATGACGAGAACCGCAAGAACTTGCAAAATGATACCTGGCGCTTAAACCAGCTGAACAAGTCACTAGCCAATCCCGAGCACCCGTACTGTCATTTCTCTACGGGCAACTTGGAAGTGCTCAAGACGAAACCCGAATCACAAGGGATCAATGTTCGCGACAAGTTCGTCGAGTTCCACGACAAGCACTACTCTGCCAACCGAATGAAGCTCGTTGTTCTTGGCCGCGAGCCCCTTGACGTACTACAGAAATGGGTCGTGGAACTTTTCTCGGGCATTGAAAACAAGAATCTGTCTCCGAACAGGTGGACCCAGGAACCACTGTATCGTGATGCCGACCTGGGCACGCAGTGCTTTGCCAAACCAGTCTTGGACTCAAGAACGTTGAGTCTGTTGTTTCCCTTCATTGATGAGGAGAGTATGTTTGAGACGCAACCGAGCAGATACATTAGCCACCTAGTTGGGCATGAAGGCCGCGGCAGCCTCTTCTCATACCTCAAAAACAAGGGCTGGGCCAATAGCCTATCTGCCGGTGCGTATCCAGTGTGCCCTGGATCGCCTAGTATATTTGAAATGGAAGTGAAGCTCACCAAGGAGGCACGTACAAAAGTCCCCAGTCATGCATGGTCCAGGGCCGTGTACGCTAACAGAGTTGTTGAATTTAGGGATTGGATCACTACCTCGAAATCCCCACGATCTTTTTCCAGTACGTCGCAATGCTACGGGAAAGTCCTCCGCAGGAATGGATATTTGAAGAACAGAAGGTCATGGCCGAGCAGGACTTCAAGTTCAAACAAAAGACACTGGCTAGCAAATTCACGAGTTCCATCAGCTCAGTCATGCAGAAGCCTTTGCCCCGTGAGTGGTTGCTTAGCGGACAAAAGCGATTGCGAACTTTTGACGCCTCACTTATTACAAAGGCTTTGGAAAGGTTGCGCCCAGAGAACATGAGACTTGTCATTGTTTCTCAAGAGTATCCAGGAAACTGGGACAAGAGGGAATATTGGTATGGAACAGAGTACCGTCACGAGAAAATACCCCCGAGCCTCATGGCCGAACTCCAAAAGGCCCTCACAATGTCCAAAAATAAGCGTCTGCCTGAATTACATCTGCCGCACAAGAACAACTTCATCCCCAATAAGTTTGACGTGGAGAAAAGGGAGGTCTCAAAACCTGCATTGGCTCCACGGGTCTTACGGAATGACCAAGGAGCGCGGACTTGGTGGAAGAAGGACGATACATTTTGGGTTCCCAAAGCAAACGTCTTTGTTAGCTTACAAAACCCTATTATCTCCACATCTGTGAAGAATTGCGTCGAGGCAACACTCTTCACTCAGCTTGTCGAAGATGCCCTCGAGGAATATTCATACGATGCCGCACTCGCCGGGTTACAGTATAGCGCCTCGCTTGATACGCGAGGGCTCTGCATAAAACTCTCTGGATACAATGAGAAACTCCCCGTCATGCTGGAGCAGGTGGTTAACACCATGAGAGACCTCGATATCCAGGAGGATCGCTTTCATATCGTCCACGAACGGCTTGTACGTGCCTATGAAAACTCACAACTTCAGTCGTCCTTTCAACAAATAGGAGGCTATTTGTCGTGGCTTAACTCCGAGACTCGTTACAATGTAGAGGAAATGGCAGCCGAGCTTAAGCACGCCACTGCTGGTGCTGTGCGACTTTTCCAAAAGCAAATACTGTCTCAGTTGTACATCGAAGTATACGCACATGGCAACCTGTCTCGAGGCGACGCTGTCAGGTTGACTGACATGGTCGAGTCCATGCTCAGGCCTCGCCCTCTGCCTCGGTCTCAGTGGCCGATTATTCGCTCGCTCATACTCCCCCGTGGTTCCAATTTTGTTTACAAGAAGGAGCTGAAAGATCCTCAAACTATTAATCATTGTATTGAGACATGGTTTTACGTTGGCGACGAAGGCGACCGTCAACTCAGAGCAAAGACCCTTCTTACTGCACAGATGATCCAAGAGCCCGCATTTGACCAACTTCGCACCAAGGAGCAACTTGGGTATGTCGTCTTCTCAGGCACGAGATCCTTTTCGACTACTTCCGGACTTCGATTCTTGATACAAAGCACTCAGAAACCCAAGTACATTGACAGACGAATTGAGGCCTTTTTGGTTCAATTTGGAAAGAAGCTTGAGCAGATGAGCGACTCCGAGTTCGAGAATCACAAGCGAAGTCTGATTGTGAGACGTCTCGAGAAACTGCGTAATCTCGATCAGGAATCGTCGAGACATTGGGGTCAGATTGATGGCGAGTATTACGACTTCGAGCTAAGTGAGTGAAGCCTACCATGTACCACACTGCAGACGACCTGGAGTATATGAATGAAGTATGCTGACATTGAGATAACGGAACAGACCAGCACGACGCAGCCCACGTTAAGCCACTTACCAAGACGGAAATGGTGCAATTCTACAAGACATATTTCCACCCCTGTTCGAGCACTCGTTCTCGCATCTCAGTGCACCTCAAGGCACGCGGCCTGGACACAAAGGTCATGGAAATATTGAAAGAAGCAGGTGTTGAGGATGTCCCAAAAAAGAAGCGGAGGAGTGTTGACGTCTTACGCGAGTATCTTGAAAGCGGCGAGATTCTCGAAAGCGAAAAGCTAAATGCTGTTATTTCAAAGATCCAGAAATGCGGACTTCCTCCGGCTGCCGAAACTGACGCAACAAATGGGTCTACGAAAGATACCGGCGCAGTCGAAACAGCTCAGAAGATTACCGACGTGCGCCAGTTCAAAGCTAGTCTGCAGGCTAGCTCAGGCGTCCTACCTGTCAAGCAGGTGAGCGAGTTTGAAGAGACCGATGCCAAGTTATAAGCAGACTGAAGTATCGAAAACAAAAACGAAAAAAAGAGGATAAGAGTAAGAATCAAAGATGTGAAGAGTTAAAATGCAAATTGGTCTAGCGCTTACCGAGCGATGGCATTACCTTTGATGGCTCTTCTGTCTTGCTGTTCAAACCACCACCACCACATCACACCTTTTCTTCTTTTATTGATTTATTTTAAATGCGTTTTGGGTTTTATTTGTTAAGTTTGGTGCGAAGACTACACGCCATGTGGCTTGAGCCGAATTGAACTTGAGGTATCAGAGCAATAAGGAGGCTCATATTGGTAGCAAAGAGTTGCAGGCGCAGAAAAGTCATAGAAGAGGTTAGACGAGCAACACCGGCGACGGACAGCAACATTATATGTAGACAGTGCTGTTTTATAGAAGCGGACCCCTCTAATCAGGAGGTCGGCGTTCAGGCTTGCTGAGATGAGTTTAGTTTAAAGGTCGGGTCGATATGTTGGATGTCATGATGGCGGAATATACATGCCTAAGTACGTAGCTGGAAGTACAGGGCGAATCGCAGAAGCATGACCAGTCCGTGTTCCTTGTTCAATTGAAGCAAAAATAGAGTGTGGCCAGCAGCTATAGATGTCTTGAAACAGGTTGATGAGGCGAGTTTAACCGTCCCCGTCGGCGCCCCCGTGATGTTAAATTTCGAAACGGCTTGCTCGATATTTCAGGCTTTCTCGCTCGTTTTCCTTTTAGCTCCATATTTTTTTCCTTAGCATCAATTGATGTCAAACCATGTTATGCAATAGGATATGCGGCCAAGATGTGGCCAATCATTGGTCAAGGGGAACCAGATCGTCGGCATCATTGACTGGGAAACAGCGGGGTGGTTCCCTCAACTTCTTAATGTCATTGGGAGTACGGAGTACACTTGGTGCTTTGTGCTTGTGTCATGACGACGGTCTCGACGGCCTGAACGTTAGAAGGCGGGAGGAGAACCGAACAACGGTTCTCGCCGGTGCTGTCAATGTACCTCGACCGTAACACGGCATCGCACAGGGTGATGTGTCCCAACGCGCCGCGTTACTCGGGAGAGTTTAGAAGATGGGGTGTAAGTGTGCTGTCAAATGTGCATGTGCATCCGCGCCGTTTGGACTCTGTCAAGACTTGAACCAGGCGAGACCATCAAATAACTCCTTAGAGCAGGCACCAGGTTTAGTATTACTTAAGTACTTAAGTAGTTAGTTGACGGGTCTGGTGGCGCCTGGCTCAAGTCAATACAGGTAGCCCTCAAGCCGGTGTGCACCAGACTGTTTGATGCCGTCCGGTCTCCCCAGCCGTCTCCACTGGCATCCAGTGTATGGACGGTTTTCTTCTTTCTTCCTTTTTCAAACGCTCTTCCCTGCCTGGCCCCACCATGAGTTGACAGGCCGATGCCCACGCCGATGCCCACGCCCACGGCCAGCACTGTGATTTCCCGTTTGTGCTCCCAGAGCCCCCCAGTCAAGCACCGACGCCGCCTGCCGCTCGCTGTGTGCTCGAGGCTCTCAGCTGCCCAAGTGCCCCCCGGCGCCGTCTGGTCGACCAGCCGCCACTAGACTTTTCCAAGCACTAGCCAGGCAGGCAGGCAGGCAGTCGAGTCGTTGGTCCATGCCATCAACCCGGAAATCCCATTTTGTTTCTGTCTAGTCGCCACAAAGACCACCGCATTCTCGTCCCCTTTAGATGCGTGAGGCTGCTTCATCAGTCCCTCGCTTTCCGCTGAATCAGACTATCTGTCGCTTCCGGCGCCATCACCCGCGTTTGTCCACGAGCTGCTCGGGCAGCTCACTGTCAAGACGTCTTCCTCAAAGAAGAGAAGGCTTGCCCGTCCGCCGCCCTCGACCAAGCAGGTATTGGACGCTCCAGCTTCGCCATCCCCCGACTCGGCCCTGCCCTCGTGTGAAGTTGAACCCGACGACGATCCTGTCCTGTCCTTCTCTGCCGAACTCAGCTCTGTAATTGCTCCCCGCGAGCCCGAGGCCCCTCGTTATCTTCTCCGTTCAGAGCCGCTGCCTGTTGCAACCGCCTCGAGCCTCCCCCCGCGGTTGCAACACACCCACGCCGCCTCCCTCGTCTCGGCCGACTACGCCTCCTCGACCGCATCCTCGCCCTGTGCCTCGGCCTACGCTGAGCTTTCTCTCGAGAGCGACAGAGGAGGGGACGAGACTGGCTCTGCACGGAACCCAGGCAGAAGCCAGTCTCCCTTTGTTGTCCCAAGGAGGGCCATGATGAATGGCGACGCCGACCTGCCGCAACGATCTTCCTCGCCATTAAAACGAAGAGCCTCCAGCATGGATCCCGACGCTGCTCCAACTAAGAATGGCACCACCATGGACACGGATGCCTCTCAGCCCAGCCAGCAAATAGATCCATCCTCCACTGAATTTCCCCGCGCAATGAGCGTCGATGCCCCCGATGTAAACGGCCACGAAGCCTCCCTGTCTCAACGTAAGAAACTATGCCACCCTGAGAAAATATGATGCCTTCGTTTTGTATGCTATGGTATATAAGTATATGCCAGGAACAGACACCCACAAACATTGATCCAAGACTTGGACATGTACGTATAAAATATTTAAATGAGCAAATACTAACACTGGAAAAAATTTTCTTTTTTCAAAAAAACAGTAGCACCCCCGCCACTGCTAGAACAAGTCAAAATCATCGAAATGCTATTAAAAGCATTTGCCGATGCTCCCCCGCAAGAAGGCAGTGTAGCCTATCTGGTTTCGAGAACTTGGGTCGATAAAGCCCTTTCTTTACGGACCGGCTCCAAACCTGCCGCAGCTGGCGCCGAAAGTATCTCCTTGGGGCCGGTTGACAATACAGACATTATCCAGGAGACAATCAAAGACTCGAGCGGCAGGGATTTTGTGCGTCTCATACCTGGCTTGGGCAACGAGTCCTTCGAACTATTTCCGGAGGATGCTTGGAAAATGGTCATGGATTGGTATGGCATAAAGGAAGGACAACAGCCTATTGCTCGCATTGCTGTAAACACTGCGGATAGCAAACAAGCGCCGCCCAACATTCTTTATGAGTTTCACCCACCCATCTTTCACGTACATCGACTTTGGTCCGATGTCAGCACCATTCCTATTGAACAGTCTCTCAAGGCCAAGAATCCACCTCCTCTAATCGTCGCAAGGAGCTCCACTACACATGCTCAGAGCTTCCTCAGGGAGATCAAGACCCTTGCCGGTGTAGGTCTGGAGCGCAAGGTACGATTGTTCACTATTCCGGCCTCTGCGCAAGTGACTAGACAAGAGACCGACGCTGCGTCAGCACTCACCCCTCCCGATTCACCTGGAAGAGCTCGTGATGGAAATGAGAACCGGTCTGTTTGGCCTACATTGCTCGTCGATGTTGTCTCCTTCTCGCAGGTTAGAGATATAAGAGTCTCTGTGCCGCTCATTGACTACACTGCCGACGACAAGTTCAACGGACAGTCAACCTTGCAACATTACGAGTTGACGACGGATCAGACCTTGGTTCTGGATGAGGCTATTGGAAACTTTTATGTGAGCAACTACACCGGCCGGATGAAGGCGGCTGACAAGTCCACACCATCGCGCCTTCTGGGAAGCACAATCTCCTCAAAGACCAGCAGCAATCGAAGCAGTCCCGTATTCGACGGCCCCATGACTCGAGGCCGTGTGCAAAAGAAGCGACATGGGAGAAGCATCGGTGCCGTCGGTCTACACAACCTGGGCAACACTTGCTATATGAACTCTGCTTTGCAATGTGTTCGAAGCGTCGAGGAGCTCACCAAGTATTTCTTGACTGAGTCCTATTTCACCGAAATAAACAAAACCAACGTGCTAGGCTTCGAGGGCAGAGTGGCCATCGCCTACGGTAATCTCCTCAGAGAAGTCTACGAGGAAGGTCGCGGTTCTGTAAGTCCACGAGACTTCAAATCAACTGTCGGTCGTTGCCGTCCTACCTTTTCCGGATGGAGCCAGCAGGATTCCCAGGAATTCTTGGGGTTTTTGCTCGACGCCCTTCAAGAAGATCTGAGCAGAATCAAGAAGAAGCCGTACATCGAAAAGCCCGACTCCACTGACGACATGATCAACAATCCTGAAGCCATCAAAGAGATGGCTGATAAAGTATGGGATATAACCTGTCGCCGGGATGATTCCGTCATTGCAGACCTCTTCACTGGCTTATACAAGTCAACACTGAAATGCCCCGAGTGTGGCAAGATTAGTATCACCTTTGATCCTTTCAACAATCTGACCTTGCCGCTGCCACTGGAGAACATGTGGTCAAAGTCGGTAAAATTCTTCCCACTCAACGACGTCCCCGTGAAGATCGAGGTCGAGTTATCAAGACACAGTTCCATGGAGTCGTTGAAGCAGTTCATTTCGGTCAGAACTGGTGTTCCAGTGGAACGCCTGATGGGTGCTGAGGAATTCAAGGATCGATTCTTTAAAATCTATGACAACACCCAGGACGTATCTGAGGAGATTCAGTCCTCGGATACGCCAACGATTCACGAATTGGAAGCTGTTCCTACCAACTGGCCGAGTAAGAAACATAAAAAGTATCGGTCTATGTTGGATATCGATACGCCCCCAGAGTCAGCAGAGTGGAGCGAGGAGGAATGTCATACAATGGTCGTCCCAGTCCTTCACCGTAGACCGCAAATTCCCGGTCGTGGTCCAGAGGGTATTTCACCACCTCACTTTATTACCCTGACAAGAGAACAGGCATCCGACTACGACGTCATCAAGCGCAAAATCTTGCAGAAGGTTGCCACATTCTCTACGTGGTCCAAGTTCAAGGACACTCAGGAAACTGATGCGTCCGACGGTGTCGACGCAGACTTGGTCATCACTACAGCCTCAGACGCTGACTCTTCAGGCGACAGCAAGATTGTCAGCAACTCCGTTGAGGGTGAAGACGATATGGTCGATATCACGATGAGAGACGCAGTCGACAATATTAGCAATCGGGCCACTATCTCTTCAATCACGCAACCGACAATTCTCAAGCAGTTCAACACGCAGGCGCCAAAATTTGCCGACCCTGCAAACTTCCTGAATCCAGAGCTTCAGAACCTCTTTGACCTTTGCTACTTCAAGAATGACACTGACGGGCCCGTCCCAACTGGATGGTCTAATGTTGATAACACTAGGACGCTGCCCAGGCTTGTCGATCGAATTCCCGAACCCAGGGTGAAAGATGGCGATGCATCCAGTCCTGGCAGCTCTAACAGTACAGGCTCCGGCAACGAGGAGAGCGGTGACGAGGATGAAGCCACACCAGAGTCCACTCAGACGCGGATGATTGAGGAATCCAGCGAGGAGGACGCCCATCAAGCTGCCAAGGTGAGATTGCATTCCTGCCATGTTTTTTTTTCCCTTTATCTTGTCGCAAAAATACTTACAATGTATCTATCAGATTAATGGACGGTCTGGTAGACATAACTCTAAGTATAATCAGGGTAGCCGCAAGAAGTTTAAGGGGCACAAAGGATACGGCAAGAAGGGCAATAAAAGACGGGACAAGCAAACCCGAGCAAGCAAACTATCGCAAAGGGCGAATATCGTTGCCCCTCAACCCATGCCCCCTGCCGTTTCTGACGGCGGGCCCTTAATACGCCTCTTCGAGGGCATCGTTGTTGACTGGACTGAGGATGCCTGGGACGCCGTCTTTGGCAATAACACAAACAAGCCAGATCCTGCCCGGGGATCCAGGACGTTTGTAGATGTCCAGACTCTCCACGATCCGGCTTTGAAGATTACTCAGCGACGACGTGTCACGCGCAAAACCCGCGGCATCACCCTCGAAGAGTGTCTGGATGAGTTTGAGCGAGCAGAAATCTTGTCTGAGCAAGACATGTGGTACTGTCCTCGCTGCAAGGAGCACCGACGCGCCAGCAAGAAGTTCGATCTGTGGAAGACTCCCGATATTCTAGTGGCTCATCTGAAGCGGTTCAGTAGTTCCGGCTGGCGTCGCGACAAGCTTGACGTTCTTGTTGACTTCCCGATTGAAGGCCTGGACCTTACATCCAGAGTGATTCAGAAGGAAGATGGCAAGGCCGAGATTTACGATCTGATCGGAGTCGATGACCATTATGGTGGTCTCGGCGGTGGTCACTACACGGCATATGCCAAGAATTTTGTAGACGGGCGGTGGTACAACTACAATGGTGCGTGCGACACACGAACGAGTAGTGGCTTAACGGGCATCTGTGACACAAAGGCTAACATTGGCAAATAGATTCATCTGTCCACGTGGTATCAGATCCCACGTCTGTCATCACTTCTGCAGCATATCTGCTGTTCTACCGTCGTCGTAGCAGCGGGCCGCTAGGAGGACCGCGATTCAAGGAAATCTTTGACAAGTTCGACAAGGAGTCGGTCCATTCTGACAACGAAGCGACAGAGTCTGGCGAAGAGGTCATGACGCAACGATCAACCAAGACGACAGTAACTCCGTTGACAGGGATGGATGATGACGACGACGAGCTGCCTATATACGACGGCAACACTATCCGTCGTAGCATTGAGGACGAGGGAAACTATCACTCCGGATCCAAGGGGGCCCTGGATATGACTCAGAGCTGGAGCTTCACAAGCCTGAACGGCAACGGCGTAAATGGCAACAGGGACACAGACTGTGCCAGTGACGATGCGCAGTTTGACTCATCAGGCGATGACAGGAGCAAGGCACTTTCCGAACGAGACACAGATATGGCGTCGGCGGCCCCATTCGAAGAGGGCGCCTCATGGGATGAGCGGGGGGTTATATCTGTGCCAGCAGATGGGGCTGGAGAAGGAGCGTCGGAGGAAGTAACCGAGATCCATCTTGAGGGAGACAAGATGACACGCAGCGCCTAGACACAATGAGCATGTGCGTATTACCTACCGGTGTGACGGGGGTACTACTAAAAAGACACAATACAAAGCAGCCTTTATAAAAATGGGGTATTTCCAAGAAGAGTCGGGCAGAGTGCCTTGGGGCGTTTTATAGGGAAGGGCGCGCTTGCGGGCCAACACTGCATTAGTAAAGGATTGTAAATAGATATAGAGACGGCTCCCTTTAGCGCGGCATGATGTGGCAACGGCACGGCAATGGCACGGCAAGACAAGCTCGTGGCCGCATGAGTTACGTTGTGAAAACGGGGGGCAAGTAACGACATTTCTGGCATAGTTAAAGGAGTACTTGGTAAAAGAAGATGAATTTCCCGAGGGGGATAAATAAGGTTAAGGTTTGGTGTGAGACGCATGTTTGTTTGATGCCTCGATATTGTGGGATGTCTGGCAAACGATGCGCCTGAGAGCGGGGGGAGCGAGTTCTCCATACTATATAGCAATTAGTAACTAGTATTTGGTTCTCTTTCTTCTTCTTTTGCTCCGTACGGAGTACTGCTGCTGGAATACCAGGTGTCGGGCCGGCTTCGGGATGCCTGCGGTCCGATCGGCGTCCATGGTCGGCGTGAGGCCGGCAGTTGAATGCGTCAACGTCATCCAATACGAACGCTTTATTTTTTTGCAAGTTTTAGTTGGTACATACGTACATATGTACATATTCATTCATACATATATATACATGGGCGGTGCTTTGTGAGAGGCAAATCAGTGGCTTTTTGGTCATGAAAAGCAACCCGGTTCCCGCCTAGCTTAGTTCGCGCCTAGCTCAGTAGTGTTCGAGATGGTATTCTAGAAGATATCCGGAAGCGGAATGGTGGGCCAGGCATTTCATTTCCACGAGCGACCCCAGAATTCTCAACTCACTTGTGGTTGCCAAGAAGCCAGCACGCCAGCGCTTGAAGGGCAAAGAAATGTCTGGATGGGGCCTACCACTGGCGGCAGGCAAATTTGAAGGCGGCTTGACGAAATGCCCTCAGCATAAAGTGCCCGCCACAGAAGGAGCGGGCGATGGGGAGCTTGTAAGCCACCAATGACGCACCAGACTTCAAATCGACGCCGGCTTGCGCGACGGCCAACTTGCACCAGCCATACATAGCATTGTTAATAATAAATGGGAGGACGGCAAGAGTCATCGGTCTCGTCGCCACTCATAAACTCTGCTAGTAAACGCTCACCGCAATGTGTGGCGCATCCTGCGCTGAACCGGCTTGAAAATCCCTTGTAACTGTTGTGCTGCATTCAACCTTGGTTCCGGTCTAAAGCATGTTTCGTTTTCCGTCTTCACTGAGCCATGTTTGTATCAGATTTTGCTTCCGCCTTGTTACGCTGTGAGACGGCAGTATTTCCAATGTTGCAGCCACAAACAGCCCGAGGCTGGGATAATGCGCAAGGGTTGACCAGTCCTTTGCTGGACTCGTCATGATCACAACTCGGCTTCTGCAAGGATTTTGCCCGTCTCTGGCTGGAGCGCTCAGACTTGAATCAATCATGGACGCACAACCTTTACAGGGATTTGTCCACTGCTCATTTTGCCATCCGCCTCCCGCACGCCATCACACTTCTCGATAATAGCGCCCACCCTATCAACGCCACTGGCTGTATGCCCTTGCTCAGTCAGACTCATCAGTAGTGACAGCTGATGCTAGATACCGACTCAAGTTCGTATGAGTATGCGCATGGAGTGCGGAGTACTCGACACCAACACCTTGGTCTGCAGACTGCTGCAAAAGCACTCGCTCATCACTCATCCATCCTCCCTTCTCACCTTGTTCCATCTTGCCTTTCGCCTTCCTAGATTGACCGTAGTGCGCACGCGGCCACCGGCCTGCCGTGCAGGAACGGCTGAGCCGATCCACTGCCCCGAGACGACGGTGCAGTCTTGCCCACTTGCTGTCCACATGCTGCCCACTGCAATCCTTGTCGACAAGTATGTGTGTTGTAGTGTGTATGAATACTGTACACCAGGTATTGCAAATACTCCGTGGGCGAAGTAGTGCTAGTTTGTTGTTGCTACTTGGAATGCCTATATGGATACCTACCTACTTAGTACGCACGTAGCTAGATATCAAGCACTTTCGGTACTTGAGGCATTGGCGCTACCGAGGACGATTAGTGACAACAGAGCAAGTTGCGCTGGTATCATCATTACTGGCGTAAGTAGGGTGAGACAGAAGCAGCAACATACATACCTAGGTACCCATTGTACCTACTCCGTACATGCAAGCATAATAAGAACTTGGCCTTTCCGATCCCTTACTTAGGGCTCCGTTCGACCGGCCGACACCCGGTCATGATGCCAATTCTGACAGAGGCTGTAGTTATCGTTGCGCCAGGACGTCTCGTTTCATTGGTCCCAGTTGGTAGATGGGGCCGTTGATGTTTTATGTGCTCCGTATTCATTGGGTTTATGGGCCAGGGAGAGACCGAGTTACTAATAGTAATGAGAGGAAACAGAACATAATTTGGCATTGCGGTGCCTCAACCTCGTCCCGTATCCATCACGGCCCCTCCGAGTCCCATATTCGACCCAGGTTTTTTTTTTCGGATCCCATCGTGGTCTTCCGGAACCTCGGCTGTCTTTTTAGTTGATTCTATTTTCTTTTCCAACCAGTTTGTGGGGGCTTCTTTTAATTTATTTCTTCATTTGTTTATTACTTTCCCTCGTTGGGTGAGGGGGTACAACCGTGTAATGCTGATGCAAAGCCATTCCGTTTATTGTATTAGATAGAGTTTGCCAAAGGCCGAAGTGTATCGTCGGTCGCCCATCGGATCAGACTCGGAACACTGAACCCAATTCAAGGTGGTGGTCAAACGCTCGGGCGCTGTTGCAAGGATGCGCATTCCCAGACACGAAAGTAAGGATGAAGGGATGATGTGGTGTACGACGACTTTCAACAGCGACAGTAATAACCTGTTCCTTTGCTCGAAGCTCAGTTGCGATTACTGCCTACCTAGGTATGTAAGCAAAGGTAGTACTTTGCAGGAATGCTTGGTTCAGGGCCTGCAGGGCGCACACTATCAAATTAGCAACTGTACTCGTCGGGATATGATGCTACAGGCAAGTTAAGTTAGTCTGCCGAACTCTGTGTGTCTCCCACTTCCCGATGGTGACACGGCAACATGTGGTGCAACCACTCGACTATGCCAATCTCTGCCAAACCAGTCGCTACTGCAGCGGCCTAGCAACGCCTCGTCCCAGCATTCATTTCATTCAAGCCATGCACCTGAGATGTGCCCTCCTCTTGCCCAGAAATGAATTGGGAATTAGAGGCGCACTGCGGGCGGCGGCTGACCGTCTTTTTTCAGACGTTTGTCATCCGTCTGTACTCTAGTAGATATCGTAGAATGTGTAAGCTGCAATATGCCGGGCTTGGACGGCGTTGGCTAGAGCGCCAGATTACTCCTCGGTGGCACAGCTGTTCTGTATGTACTCCGTCTTGTAGAAGGATATGGTGCCTTTATGAAATGTCAATGTGTCGGGGAATGTGTCCGCCCAAGGGCAGAGAACAGGACAAGCAGGGCCCGGAACTGGGTATAGACCACATGGTGAGTAGACAAAAGAAGGAGGAGGAGGAGGAGGAGAAACGCAAAAAGGAGGTTCATCACCAGTTGCAAAGGGTCAACGGTTTGTCGGGCCTGAGGCTTCTCTTGGGCTCGACTGCCAGCACCTAGGGCAAGAGCGGCCACGGGACTCGCACTCAGCACTTGCTAATTCGATACCGTTGACAGCCCAGTGGTGCGCGGAGCCCGACATCTCGCCGAGCATTGAAGCACGCAGTGCCGGGATCAACGGCTCCCAGGGCCACTTGTGCAGGCTGCTGAGTGCCAAGTGCCCAGTGCCAAGGTGCCAGCTGAGGTCAACTTGCTTCAATGTTGGGTGCTGGCCATTGATGGCTTGCATGGGGCGGCTTTGACGGGGCTGGAGGGGGCTTGAGGGGGCCCAGCAAGCCCCAAGACCCCAAGACCCTCCATGCTCCTCCATCCCATTGACCTGCCCAGGCCCGCTCCCCCTTCCGCCGCGCCCTCGAATTGTTACGATTCGCCATTGTCCGGCCTGCTCCATGTTTCTGGAATTCCTTCTTGGCCTTCGACGAAAATGGCCTTGGGTCGAACCCTCCCCCCCTCCCCCCGAAACGGTCGAGAGGTCGCGTTGCCCACCTCGCCGGCCACCAGAACCCCCAGAGGCCCCACCCGCTCCTCCGCGTCCACTCAAAGGCCGCCGTCGTCCTTCGCTCGCCCTTCTAGACTTCGAGTCGCGGGCTTCTGGGCTTCCATGTCTGGGCCGTCGACGTCTGGACGCCTGGCCCTCTGGCCCTCTGGCCCTCTGCACGCCTCTCCATGCCTCTAGCGCGGCCCTCCTAGTGGCCTCGCAACACCAGACCACCCTCGCCCTCCACGTGCGACAAGTCGGCACTCGACGCAGAGTTGCGACTCTCTCCCTCTCTTCACACTCGCACCAGTCCCGGTCCCATTCGTCATTCTCCATTCTCCATTCTCCCTCCCAACTTCCATTCTGTTGATCCGCCGCCTCGCTCCTTTCGCCGGCTCTTTTTTTTCTGCCTCGCTCTCTCTCTTCAATCACACACGACCGTCGATTTCCTGCGCCGCCGTGAGCCACCCACAAGCCACCCACCTTGTCGCGCGACTTCCTCGCCACCGAGCGCAGGTCTGCCTGTAGATACTTCTCTCCGAGGCATTGGATGGGATTCCGAGCCTGGTCTTGGCAGCAACTCTCCTGGCCGACCCAATTCGACTCGTGCGGGCTTTTCAGCCGCCAACCAGCTCACGACCGTCTGCGATAGTTGCCTTGCGTCTTGGCCCAGCGTCGAGTTCGTTTTTGTGCAGCCTCCGTCCGTCTGCACCACCCGATACTCGACACCCCATTAACATTCTTGTCTACTGCCGTCTTGTATGGTCGACACCGTTGCCCGACGACGACAACGACGACGACGACGACGACGACGCAA